GGAATATGAGGGAAATCAAGATTACATAGAGGTGGCTGAGCTGTGGCGCCATTACAAGAGGGCATGAGGACTGTTGAAGGGAGAAGGGCAGGAACCGTCGCTAACACCTCACCGAAAAGTCTCCAGGTACATCAGCCTTAATTCCCCACCAACCCTACACCCCCTATTCAAAAACAGATCCTTTGGGGCAAAACCCAAGGTTTCCCACTTCTATCTCCAGGCTGAGAGACCCAGTGTTTGAAGCCAGAAGTGCGGCTCTAAGACTAGGTCCTGTGAAGACCGCAGGCCATTGTGCAAATGTCCTAGCAGCTAAACTGGAATGATCGCCAATACTGGCGTGGGAGGTTGTAGGTGTTGTTATCATTGTCCAAAGGAATTACCTGGTGGCTGTGTTCTCTCTCGCTCTCTCTCCCTCTCTTTCTGAAAGGGATGCCAAAAGCGTCAAACCCAGCCCTGCGTTCTACACACACACACACACACACACACACACACACACACACCGGCACACCTCTACTCCAAGCCCCATCCAGAGGTCTGAAGTCACGCTCCCGTGGCCCCTGAGCCACTTTCCGGGAGAAAAAGAACAGGAAGGAACCACTGGTCACAGGTTCCACTGACAAGAGGGGAAAACCCGAGGGTGGCGGTTCCTTTTCTCGGGGGGGGGGGGAGGCCACACCCCCTGCACAAAAACATCCCAGAGCACTGGTCCTGCATCTGCGTCGGAGAGGCGGAGCTGCCCCGGGGAGGAAGCGGCCCAAGGCTGGAGGGGAACACCCCTCTTTGATCCCACGAGGTGCGTCAGGGAAAGTTGGATTTCGTTTGGCCCGGGATGGAGACACCTCTCCCCACGCTGCCACCGGGACCAGAGGAAGCCGGGCTCCGCTCCGCCCCGACCTCAGGTGGTGCGCGTGTGACCCCAGCCGAGAGCCTGACCTCTTTTCCCTCCCGCCCGCCCATCCCCACCCCTTTCAAGGCCGGGACTTTATTAAGGCCGGTTCCGTCCGGGCTGAGCCATCGGCTTAGAAGAAGGCGGGATCTGGCGGAAGCTCGCGGCGACCAGGCAGCCGGAGAGGAGCCGTGACCAAGAACGAGGTAGGGACGGTCCTCCCCGAGGACGGAGCGCGGGAGCTCCGCGGGAGTTTCCCCGTCTCCCCGCAAGCCGAAGCCCCAAGGAAGCGCTCGGGT